TTTGTATCTTTTCCTTACTCCTATTCCCCTTCCAAAACATGCCACATGGTTCCCGTAGCCTTGTTTTGTTTTGCCTGCTGCCGGTCGTCCCCGCCTTTGCTATCGTTGTTCCCTTTACAAGCCTGCCCGCTGCTGTTTCATGTCCTCACCGCGAATCTCCGTCCTTCCTTATCTAGTAGGTGATTTAGGTGGGCCGATATACAGCCATTTGTTGAGACCCAGACAAGTATTTGGACCTCCAAACGGCGCACTACCTAGGTTGGGCAGACAACAGACGAAAGCTGCCGTAATGCGGAGGGAGCCCAAAAGCACATTCATCTCAAGCCGCCATGGGATGCAGGCCCCCTGCTTCCCTGCATGTCTCCCAACCTCCTTGCATACACGCACCTCACCCCCTCCAAACCCATCCATCTCGCCCTGTTTTTTGTTGTTTGTTATTGTTCCACGCCCCCCAAGCGGACACCCTCCTCCTCCTCCTCCTCGAGCCCGTGCTGTTGTCGGCCTCTCCCACTAACGCAGGCGCCCAGGCTCGTCGAGATCCGCGCGGCGCAGCGCACCTTCGAGGGCGCCTACATGCGCACCGCCCTCTCCCAGTTCAGCTTCGCCCTCATCATCCTCAAGATCTTCACGTCCGAGTTCTACCCGATCGGCGCCCTGCTCGCCGTCTACGGCTTCTGCATCCTCCTCATCGCCGCCTACCGCCGCCACGAGGGCAACCGCCAGTTCTTCAGCGAGGACCCCGCCCCCGACGACGGCGGCCCCGCCCGCCCCCGCCTCTCGCCCGCGCCCAAGAAGAAGTTCCGCACCAGCGGCAACAGCGTCGCCCTGCTGGCTGCCCTGAGCCTCGGCGCCTACGTCGCCCTGCTGGCCCTCATCTTGACCTTGGAGTCGTAACTGTGTTTTCTATTGCCATGACATGCTGGCATTGTGTTTTGTGGGAATCACTAGCCCTGTAGATATGTTCAATTTGATTCGTCAAGGCGGGGCAAGCGTCTGTGGCAATCATGTCGTGACTCTCCCTAGTATAACAGAACCGTGATGGCCGCTACTGCCCTGTTTCCGCCTCTTTCGTGGTGCTAGGCAGGCCTTGTTTCCCAATATGCTCTGTTTTCACATTCCATGCTAGTCACCAAATGCCATTTTGCACAAGAGAAAGGGGAGGGTGGGATCTGGCTCGATTTACAAGTCGTTCAATATGTCTCATCTAGGTACCTAGGTAGCGTAAATGACAAGAGGAAAGGAGAGTTGAGAAAGGTCCAAATATTAAAGGACAAGATTGGGGGGAAAAAGTAGCTACGAATTGGTGACAAATGCAAACTTTTAAATAAGCGTTCAGATCCAGAAGCGATTCCCAAAGAAGCGAAAGGAGGTAAAGAGAGGCTTTGAGAAGCGGAAGAATGAAAAAGGGGCTCCTCTCCACGAAATCACCCACATCCGTCCAGGGGACAGACAGCCACATGGCCGTATCCTGTCTCCTTCTCTTTTCCCTTGTCATTATTGAATAGAGCCCCCGCCGCCAAACCCCGATCTAGATTTATCACCAGCAGAAGCAAGCCCAGTAGCCCAATATAAACGAAGCGCAGCTCCGCTACAGGAAGACTTAGCAGGAAATGAGAACATGAAGCGACGATGAGATAGATGAAAATCGGACATGAAGAAATCGGGCACCAAGAGGACAAGAGAAGACGGGGAAGTTGATATGGCATAGAAGGAGAGGAGGCATTACGAAATAGAACATTAGAAAATAAGAATAAAAAAACAAAACAAGAAAGAAAAGACAGCAATGAGGGCCGTTCTCCCCACTTCGGGCCGGGCCGGGACGCGCTTTTTGTAGCCTGGGAAGCCTTGCCGGAAGGGTGCTTACCTGCACTATATATTAGCGCCACGCTCGATTAGTAGGTTCGATCTTGGAAGCTCGAGTAGGCAGCCCGGAAGGCTTCCCTGGTCGCGAATAAAGCCGTCGCCGTGCCCTCGAGATTCTTCCGGCGGCTCATAGATTGACCTGGTCATCTGCCACCGACGGTGCCGGCATGCCTATATTTTTCTCGTCGGTGCGCTTTGCCGTGCCGTTGTCGTGTTTGCCTAGATCCGCAGGGGCGGGGGTTTCGCACCGTAGTTCAGGAGTACAACCCCAGACAGACAACCGACCTCCTGTGTATGAGGTGGCTGCGTCGCAACCGAGACGCGTGCTACGCTCACGGCGCGTGGGGATCTGAAGAGGCTGTGGCTTGGGCATTGTCCGCCAAATGCCCGCCCCCACGTCCTTCTCTTTGCTCTTGATTCTGCAAAAAGCCCGAAATGAGTAGAAGGTTCAAGGGCTTCGCCAGGTATGCCCAAGATTCTCCCTCGTTTCGACGCCCTCTCCTCTTCTTTTCCCCGTCGTATTCTTTTTCTTTTTCATGATCTTTTTTTTTTTTTTTTGCTGCTTTTCCGATTGAGAGGCTGGAGGCCATGTGAGGGTGGAGTTGAGTTGAGGAGAAAACACCAACACGAACGCACGTCCCGCCGACAACGAACATGACCAGGTCTCCGAGTGCAAAATACGCGGCAGGAGTCCGGTCTATCTATTAGCATAATAGATGCCGGCGCCTTGAGACTGACTCTGGGCCGAATGGTGGCCTTGTTCGTCTGCGACCCCCCCGCTCTCGTCATACCATCCCTGAGAGTAGGATGCATTCCACGAGCCGTAAGTCGATGGCGGTACGGCCCCTGCCGAAAGAGAGACGTTGTGCTCCAGCGTCGTTCCCGGGTTACTTTCCACGGGATACATGTCTGCGGACAAGGACGACAGTTTCCTGTCGTAGGACCGACCCGGGCTGGCGACCTGGGATATGGACGGGTACTGGTGGTGTTGGTGATGGTGGTGGCTGCCTAGGCTCTCGGACCCGAACGACATGGAACGTGTTGGGGGAGGCTGGTAGGTTGGCCAGCCCAAGTCGTCACGAGGCGAGTGGGCATCGCTGCCGGGCGTCGTCCAAGTTGCCGAGGATGGCGCGGCACTGGTGGTGTAGGGCGAAAAAGCTGGAGTGACGGGCGACTCTCGAGAGTAGGATCTGGAGCTGCTAGGTACGCCATCCCCGGGCATCCAGCTTGCCATGGACACGTTCCCGTACTCGAACGCTCGAGTTGTGGATGCGTTTGCGACTACTAAGCCATCACCGCCAGCGGACTTTGTCGATGGTGGCGCCATCGTCTGCATCGAGGGTATCACCAGCGGATGCGTGTAATGCTGCCCGGCGTGCATCTCCGAAGGATGCCCGCTGGCCATGGCTGGCGAGGAGGAAGCAGATGGCACCCCTCCTGGCCCAACAGAGGAGCGCGACCCGGACTTCTGTCGGCTGTCCGTCGGTGGCGGCGGCGGTTGCTGATCGACCGGGAAAAAGGTGCAGTCCTTCTTCAACCGAATACAGTTGATGCACCGACCCTGCAGGTCGTCTGGTGAGGGGATACATCGGATCTTTCGGCGTCTGCAATGGCCTGCAAGTGCAAGGCTCACAGATATTGCGGTTAGTCACCCTGTCAGGCTAAACACGCCGCTCAGCAGGGCACCACAGAGGCCCCTGCTCCCACCCCGCCACCTTTCTCTGGCCATCTGGGTGAGGAAAAGAGCCCGAAGATGTCACTTACCGCAAGCTACAGATGTGCGATGGTACCCCAGCTTGTTCCTCCTCTTTTCCCCAGCAAGAAAAGATGCATGATCGGCCGGCTGGCCTTGTTGATGCATGTGGTCCTGCTGAAGAGGCAGATGTGGCCTAACATCGGGTGTCGACATGGACCTCTTGAGATGCATGGCCGCTGAGAAAGAGTCGCGGCGGTCTCTTGGAGAGAAGGCTGGGTCATGCTCAGGCCCTATGCCCAGCTCGGAAGAACTCTGAAGGGATTCGTAGGTGGGGATGTACGCAGAAGCCGACATCCCCATCTCGGCGCCGTTGGGGGGCGGCGGCGGATACTGGTACGACATGATGTCCGTCATGGATTCAGTTGAGGTGTTGTGGGCGTGCAAGGTTACGCTCTCAAGTCTCCGAGAGGCTTGATGTGTCTGCAAGGGCGAAGGAGGAACCGACGACCGACTCCCTGGGCAATGTTGTCCAAAAAGGCCTGCGCAGGCGAGGGCAGGAAACCGAAGCGAGCAGGCGCCTAAAAGAACAACTAAGCGCCAGAAGGTGGCGGTGCCAGTGCTGGCAAGGACAAGGACTTGCAGGATGGTTTGCTGGCTGTCGCGCGTTCGCGTGCAGGTACGTGTTTCGGCCCGTTGTCCTTTCCCTTTTGGTTTGATATTGATGAGAAGTAGCAGCTAATAGGCTCGACCTTCTGCAGCGGTTATTCGGTTACGCGAATATTGGGTCTGTCCGCTTGATTATAGATAGGCGCAGCCCTTCGAAACGAAACAGCTTAGCCGGGTGGATGGTTTTCCAGGAGCTTATGAGCAGAGTTTGGGCAGGTAGGTACCTCTAGACGGATAGGTAAGGGGGTAAATAGACAGGTGGGCTCGTCAGCTTTGTTGACGCCTTGGTTGGGTCACCGGCTTGCGGCCCGGTTCTTTGTCTGGAGCAAGAGCTGACTGGTAAGCAAAGGGCAGGCAAAAGCAGCAGTCCATTGCAAAACCTCGAACTGAAAATCTCGATAAACGAGACAGGATGCGATTGGGCCACATGCCGTCGGTGCGGAGGGACCACAGCTCTACCAGACTTGGTTACGGAGGGTCTAGGCAGCGGCTCTTGATCTGGGGTAGTCCAACTGGACACGACCAAGGACGGGAAGCCAAAAGCCATGCAACGAGACAAGGGGGTGTAGTCCAGGGCGGGGCTTCGAGGGAGGCAACTCAAATATCCAGTCCAGGTTCCCTCATCCGACTGGACGGCGGCAGGTCTATGGGCAAGGGGGGTGTCTGTCGATATGGGCCAGGGGCACGGCGAATCTGAGCGGGGAGCCACGGAAGCTTGACGTGGGGATGGCAGCACGGCCAGAAGACTGCAGGACGGGGCGCGAAGGTATGTAACCGACACCCTGAGCCGGCCGGGCTCGACGGCGCATGTGCCGGGATAAGCCCGGTAAGGCGAAGGTGGAATTGAGGCAGGTGGGTGTGGCCGAGGTGGTATGGGCAGGGATGAAGGAGGAGATGAACTGGACTGACAGCCACGAGGGATCAAAGGCACAGCACCTACCTACGAGGTACCTACGTACCAGAACACGCCAAGCACCCAACACGTTGCAGTCAGGCGCACTAGCTCAGCAGCCCGCAGACGCTCACTCGCTGGCGCTATCGAATCCCAGGCGATAGTCGGTTCTGGGGCGGTCGGTCCCCCTGTCCAGAGCCAGAGGCCACCTAGGTGTGTGGCAGTGTGTGGTAGGCAGCTGCTTGACCTGTCTCTTGGCCAACTGGTGGTTGAGGGAAGCAGTCTGGCCCGTGTTGACCGGCGTCGAGTCTGGACGAAAGGATGTGGGCGGCAAGGGTGGAGGGCCAGGGCTGGGCGGATGGCTGGACTGTTGTGGATCTGCGGCAGGCGCTGGAGGGGAGGTTGCAGCGCATCAGACGGCGTGCGATGGCGTGGGCAGCGTGGAGGCGGCCGGGTTTTCAAATGTTTGGTTCGCCGTCTTTTTTTATTTTATTTCTGCTGGGGTCGACTGTCAGTGGTTTGGGGTCCGTCGAGCGTTGTTTGGTACCGCCAAAGTCTTGAATTGTGTGTGCGGGCAGGCGCGGCAGGGGGGCTCCTGCGCTGGACCCGTGGTGCAGTTTTTCTGTTTTTGGAAGCTGGGACACACTCTTTCCGAGAGCCCAACCTTTCCCTCCACAACAACAGGCCGCCCTCGCTGAGCCACAGGGTCGCAGGCCCCGAGGCTGGTCCACCCAAATTTGGCCGTCGTCTGGAGGCCGCGTGAATGCGGGGAGGTTGAGGGTGCTTCACTGTCGGCAGTCGCGAACGGGGGCTCGGCCGAGGGCAACGGGGTCGATGGAACGGGTAACCGGGCGCGGTTGGCTGTTGGCCGGCCGGGCTCTCCTTACTGTATTCGACAGGCGCTTCTAGCTGCGAGAGCTCATGTAAGCGAGGACTCGACGGGACATGGCGGGCGGGACGGCACCAGGACAAGGGGAAGAGACACCATGTGGACCACGGCATGCACACCCACTGCCAGCGCCACCCCTCGGTATCCCTGCGGGCCACACGCGGACAGATACATGTATCTGCCCATACGGATCCCGAAGACGGGTGTGGCGGCTACCTAGCTGCCTTACCTAAGTACGCAGCTAGCAGGCAGGTTGGCAGATGACAAACTCTTGCCACCCTCGCAACACGGCCATGGGTTGGACTAGGGAAGTAGCTGAGTGGACACATAATGTCCATTGGCCCAACCCTAGCCCACCACAGCAGGCAGGCCTCTGGGGTAAGGAGGAGAAAGAGCGGTGGGACCACTCCTGAAGGCCAGGAAGTGCCTGCATCTTGCCGGAACCCCTGACACCGCACAGCTACGGGAAAGGAAAGGAAGGGATGGAGGGGATAAGGGAAGGCAGAGAGATAAGGAGGAGGAGGAGGAATGGTTAATTCATTGGTGAACCCAACGGCCGCCTACCGTAGGTAGCAGAACTGTTGGCAGGAATACTCACTCCCGTCTCGCCAATCCCTGAGGAAATAAGACTGGACAAAGGGCCACTGGATGGTTGTCGACGTCGACTACGGCAGGCTCTGGATCACTAAACAGCGTTACTATGGCTGCGGCGCCACTTGCCCAGGAGCCAAGTACTTGTCGCCTCAGGCTGGAAATCGAGGACGTAGGTCTCGCGACGGTGGCGGTGAGGTGAGTAAGAGGGAGGAGTATACATACAAGGAACGGGGTTGGCGAGCTCCACTATCCCGGATCGTTGTTCTTGGTCTCTTTGATCCCTTCGATAATAAATCTCGTCAAGTAGGCGCTCCCGGCGCTTCTCTTATGGCTTGACGCAGGGAATTTGATCGGAAGTCAAACCCCAGACAATCCGCCTCCTGCTCTCGATCGGGATGTGTTGATCAATGGTCCGCGGCCAAGGAAAAGTCGCTTGAAAAAAGGGCTCGGAGGGCTTTCCCCAGAATCTTCGCTCTCGTCTCGTCTTGTCTCGCCTCCGTACCTTTCGACCCATGGGGCTCGACAGGAATTATATGCATGGGCTGGGTGGACCGGGAAGTGACGAGGTGCGGGATGCCGAACTGGTCAGTCAAGCATCCTGCCCCCCCTGGTCAGATATTGGCAGCGGGAGATCACAGATCGCTCGACCTGCCGGCTGAGAGGACGCATGGAGGATCACTCGGAGGGCTGGGCTTTGCGTGCCACCAGTGCCCAATTGCCTCGTCTACATGGATATGGCTAATGGCTAGAGGGAGTAACATGTAGGGATGCATGTACCAGACAGGGAGGGCGCTTGCACCCGGCCAGAGAGAGGGAGGGGATGAGAGTTACGAGAGGGAGAAGGCGCACCGCCCAGTCGCACACCCCTGCACTTTTCTTTTTGCTTTTTTTGCCCAGCTTCATCCCGGACGACGGCGAGCATGGTAGCAGGCTAGATGGGCAAAGTCCAGACCTCGGATATCATGCTCAGTCTTCCTTAACTTGGAAGAATCGGATCTTGGCCCCGGTTCGTAGATTTTGAAACGCATGGTTAGCGAACGACTCCTGCTCGCCTCAATCTCAGCGAGAGCAAGCGCTGCAGGCATTCTAGGCAATGGGCAACAATCTAGAATATTAACCGACTCAGCAGGCATAGTGTTATGGGCTGACTGGCCTGTCCATAAACCCGTTCTTCCCATAGAATAGCCACCGAGCCAGTTCGCTGCTGAACCTCGTCAGTGAGGGGCTGCCCCATATCAGCCTCTTGGGATCTGATACTGGCTGGGGGGAGGGTTTGCCCAGTGCATGTCATGTCAACTGCCCACCAAAAATCAATCCCCAATGGGTCGTCCCATATTTCGGCACATTTTTTTCTTCATCCCGTCAGAGGCGGCGATCCGCCCAATCCATCATCGCATCCTTCAAAACTGGCTCGAGCGGCCCGTGAAATTGACTGCTTGAAAAAAAAAAAAAAAATTTAGACAAAAAAAAAACACAGCATGGCATGGCGTGGGCCTCGACCAGGGGGGCTTGCACATCCATGTACGGCAAGTGCCTTAGGTAGGTACCTACCTATAGGTGGTCTACTACCAGTCGGGCCAGGAACAGGCCGTGAGAGAGAAGAGCACAGGACGAATGGAGGTGTTGGTGGGTGGGTGGGCCAGTAACAACACGACCCCTGGATGATATCTGGAAGCATGAATGCAGGAACGTCCCGATGTCACTGAGGTAATATACAGCGGTCCAATACCGGACCTTTGCCCGGTGTCACCAGTCGGGGCGAAGGAACCGAGACAGGTCCTTCTTAGGTATGCACGACAAGCATCAGCGGCGTCGTCCAATTCCGCCATTTTAGCCCAAGGACAAAACAGTATGACGAGGTGCCCGGGTACCTCCCTTGGTACGTACATCCACGTAGTCGCAAAAGTCTTTGCTTCCTCACCCCCAGCCCACCCACCACGGATGTCTGTGGGCAGCGCAGCCGGCAGCTCCTAGATCCCTGCCCGATCCCGCAGAGCCTGTCGATCCCGGCATGGAAATTCCCAGGGCGCGCGCGTGGGCGCCAACCGAACACCACCGCCCTGCGGCATGGATTGGCAAACCCCCTGACCCTGCTGCACTCTTACAGAGCGCCGAGATGCATACCTAACACAGGTGGTTGTCTCTCAGCCAAGGACGCTACAGCGGGTATAGGCCTTTTGGCTCTGCGACATGGGTAGACGCTAGGTCGGGGTCCGCGGAATTTTTGCTGGCGCATCGGGATATTGGGTGTCATTTTATCAACTAAACATTCTCCGTAGCGCCCGGGCTTGGCCAGGCAGCTAGGAATTTGAGCCGGCGCCAACCCAATCAAATCCTCGGCACGTGGGGCTCTCTGGCTGTTGTATCCCTCAGCTCCGTCGATATCACCGCCAAAACTATACCTGATATCTTGAGCAGCGCCATTGAGCGCTCGTGGAAGCCCAACCTTGCCCAGACAGAGCAGTAGTGAAATTGTGCTCTGTCCAGATCGGATAACACTCAATCTAGACAAAGCAGATGAGCACACTGGCGGGAAACAGGATCGGAGCTTTTCTTTTCTTTCTTTTCCCCTGACCGGCTACCTGGTCTTTCTACCACTCTGTAATCCCGCCCTTTCTTGCTTTTTCTGTTGAATGCTGTTCATCCTGCGCCAGACCCAGGAAGCAGAGGCAAGCCCCGTCCTAGGGGGACAAGGGCGACAGTCGAACCGAAGACAGCATTGAATTGCCAACAGAAATGCTCCGAGTCTATCCTTTAATTTCGCCCATCTACCTACATGCGTAAAAAGTCTCCGGGCGCGTATTTATATGTTATAGGTCTCCAGGATATTAAATGTTACGACCCACAGATCATTCCTACAGGCCCTGGAGACCTGTACCTGTACCATCTGCGAGGGAAAGAAAGGATAAAAACCCACCCAGTAACAAAGGGGCAACAGGGGGTTTGAAACTGGAGATCGCAGGGGCTTTGCTGACTTGCGAAGATATCACGAAACTTCGAGAATTTCTCGTCCTTTAAAAGCTTTTCTCGATTTCTCTCCTTCTTTTACCAACTTCAACAATGGCAGTGACTTTATGCCACCACGTGACCCCCCTTTCGTTACCCTTGTGATTTCCAGTTTTAACCCCCCTGTTACTGGGTGGGTTTTTATCCTTTCTTTCCTTCGCAGATGGTACCCTTCGTTTTCATCTGACCACAAGCGGCACCAACACGGCCGACGTGGCCAAGCGGGCAGGGAGGTGACACCGGATCGGGCAGATCCAGCTGGCTGGTAAATGCCCCCGCCCACCGGTCTATGTGCCACAGAGATCCGATTCCCGCCACCCCGAAGCCCTACGCCGCATGTACGACGCCGGCAGGTGGCGTGGACCGTTCTTTCGAATCGGCCGCCGACGTGGTACAGCTTCCAGAAGAAGAAGGAATATGTTGGCGCGTTGAATTTTCGCGCACATCGTGTCTGACGGCATTGTCTTAAAGCGGCAACCACACACACCGTGGAGGAATTGGTTCGGCTAATAATTCATGTTGGTTCCTGTGCTGAGGAGGTCCATGTGCTCAACTGGGTGCAGGATAGGTGTAAAATAGGTAGGTATCTAGGTGGATGGATACATGGGTTGGTAGAGATGGACGGGTACCTCTCGCTGGGCAACGCAAAAGACTTGATCGAGATCAATTGATCAAAATGTGGGGGCTTCATCAGCATCAATGAAGCGAGTGTACTCCATCACAGTCGGCAATGGTTGAGTGGGGGAAATGAAAGGAGACCTCGACCAAGGCCAACAACAACCGACAGAAAAGCTACGTGATCGCTTCAACAAGCGACGGGCCGAACGCCGGCAACGCAATGGGATCGTGACGTCGACAGCACGCAAGAAAGGGACGTCTGTCGATCAAACTCGAGCCGGGCTACCGACAGAGGCGAGCTCTTGCTCTTCATGTGGGCTGGGCCTGGGCCAACAATATTCCCCAGCTGAGCTTTCAAACTCCATTTCTGACCACCATAACCCGACAGGGCTTCATTTCCAACACCCACACCCAGACAGGGTGGCCGGCGGCCATTGATTGGACTCTGGCAACCAGCGGCCATCGTGATGCCACGCGGATACAGGCCATGAGCAGCCGAACAAGCCTGGGCAGGCAAAAGTATCGACCTGAAGAAACCCCCTGCCTGATGGGGCAAATAATCCCGGCATGGATTCTCGTCTAGTGTCTTCCCATGTCTTGTGCCGGCCGCCCTGGTCGCCGCTTCTTTTTAAGGTTCGACGACCGAGCAGTCCATGTCACGTCGTCTTCCTTCGCGCGTCGGGAGAACCCGATTCCTGCCACGTCGAAGGAAAAAAAAAACACCCCAACCCAGCTAGCTGAAAGCCGGGACAGGCCGGGACAGTCACAAATGGCCCCATTCCATTCCATGACGCGCGAGCTAACGACATCTGCCTGCCCTTTCCCTCACCTTCCTTGCCGCAGTAGACAGGGTTAAGCCACTCCGGTCGCGGGCAGTATGGCAGCAACGCAGGATAACCTACCAAGGTAAGTAGCTGCCCGTCGAAATAATCCATCCCCTTCCAAAGGTGTGCGGTTGGTCGTTTGATCTTCTTTAGCCAGAATGCCCGCCGGATTGGCGCCCTCCTTCTCGCCTCCCACCCTCTTCTGCAAACCTGTTCTCCCACAGCATCCCCATCTCGGATCCAGGGAACGGCACCTTCTGGAACCCTAGCCGGTTCTGAGGAGAAGAGACCGAGCGAGAGAGGAAAAGGAACACAGCCGACCAAAGGACCTCGCGGCGTCCATCCGAGCCCGCAGGAAGGACCGGTCAGACCTGATCATCAAAAAGGTGTGTGGGGTCGCAATTCCCATCCAGAGCCGTTGTTTGGCCAATGAATCCTGCAAGAAAAATGCAGGAACCGGCTCCTACACGCCTGCATCCCGTGGATTTTTATATTAGTCTTGTTTTATGTGCGAGGCCTGGCTCCCAGACGTTGCCGCCGCTAGCGAAGTACCTAGTGACGCCGTCGCGGTGAACCTGCCAAGCTGGCACTTGGTGGTGCCAGTCGACGGCGCATGCGTGCTTCCGGGGAAGCCGGATGGATGCGTTTTCACGTCAACGGGCCATCTGCGCCCTCGCTAGCCTTGTTTCGAGCATTGATTTCACCCTTCCTCGTCCGCCTCCCAAACGAGAAGGTGTGATGTCTAGCTTGCTCCCAACGACGCTGTTGGGCGCTGAAGAGGAGGAAAAAACCCGGACGCCAAGCGGTAGAAGACGCAGACGAGGAGGCAGGCGTCTTTACCAGTAGCGTCAACAGGCCAAACGGAACGTTGCTTCCACCCACCGTTCCCTTCTGCCGCAATCCTAGTTCGTAGGATTGCTCCCAAGGGACGTCAGTTCTCCGTCCTTGGTCGAGCACCCTCCGGCTGTGACGTCTTTGGCGTCTCGACACTCCCGGACACGCCGACTCTCCGGCCTGCTTCTAGAAGGACGATCGACATGCCGCCCGTCTGTGTCATGCCCGCCTCGCTCTCTAGTTCTTCTCCTTCTTCTTCTTCTTCTTCTTCTTCCTTTCCACTCTCCCTGCCGCACCCGTCGACATGATGGGCGCACATCCCGCCCCGGCAGCGCGCTCCTGCCGTGCAGAGCCTCAGAGTTCCATCCCAAAACGAGCCCAATCGTCCGAACATGTAGCAACGGATGGGACCTAAATAAGCATTTGCTCAGGAGTTGCATCGCATCAGCCCATGCGGCACCGCACGCGAGGCGCGCGTAGCCCGTCGGGAAGCCCGAGCGAGTCCCCCCCTGGTGGCGGTCGTCGGATGATACCCAAACTTTTTTTTCGCTTACCAACCAACCTCGTTGCCTCCACCAAATGCCTGCCGACCAGGTACCTAGGTTGCTGAATTGATCTGCCCTCTGCATGTCTTTTCTGCCAGTATCCAAGATCAACAGAGCAAGGATGCTGAGGGCGGAGACGTCGCCGTCGACAGAAATGCCGACGCCGACGTCTCTACAGAATGCCGGGGGAGCTCTCTGCATGCAGGATACAGCCCGGGATATCAGGCTATTGGCCACTGCTAATTTACTCCCTCCTATTGAGCCATTGCTCAGCCAACAAAGGGGCATCGCCGCGTCCCGACAAAGGAAACTGCTGAGGCGACTGACTGCCCGGGGTCCTAGAGTTCGGGAAAACAGGGAAGGCTTCCGGGAGCTCACGTTTCCGATAGAACGGCCGCGATAAACCCGACGAAGCCCCCAAAATGTGATAGTTGAAATGCAAAAGGCAAAAGTCCGGCGGTGTTAGGCTAGGCGCTCGGGTGAAAGACGAAGAAGGTTGAAAGCAAGAAATGCAAAATGAAATAGTTAACGAGCAATCAGCCCCTCCCCCATCTCAGGCCTTGGCGCCAGGGGGGCAGCAGCAGCAGTAGTACAATACTGTGTATGCCATGGGCCCATCACCGTCACCGTGATTGGCGATGGGGGCCTTGCGGCTGAGTGTGGCTGCAGTCGCCCTTGCTCTTCGGTATGCATCTCGGTAGCGGCCTGGCAGTCTCGATGCGATTCAAGCGTCGGCACTCATTCCGTCTTCCCAAAGCCACCTACTACCCACTAACCCCGTCTGGGGACTTGGGCCTGCGCGAGGTGTACCTTTGCATACCCAACGGCCTTGCTCCTCACATTGGGTGGCTCTGTGCTACTCGGAGGAGAGTCTTTGATTTCGGCTCCTTGACGATGCATAGCCGCCCCAGGGTCTACCTATCTTGGTGTGTAACGAGGGAACTAGATGTGTCGAGGGGAGAACCTTTGATAGTAATTACCTATAGCCACGGGCTTGGCCTCGGCACATGATAGCCATCAGTGGTAAACATGTACCTACTTGGGCATCAGCGGACATCGAAAAGCGCATCTCTCAAGTTCCCATGTAGTCTATGGTCTATGTAAGGTGCATATCTAGATGAACTTGGAGCGAGGTAGAGTGCCAATGGCAAAATGATAGACAGAAACAGGCCCGGCCCCCTCACCAGCGCGGCGCTTGGCATCGCCTCCCCACGGCAAGGCGTGGTGGGTTCCTTTCACGGCCCACGGCCCGCGGCCGCGTTGGCATCGTCCGCCCTCTGGAGGCACTCCTCCATCACCGTCCAGAACTTGGGGATGTCCAGGCCCCTAGGTATGGTGACGCCCTCGGCGCCCTCGGGGAGGAGCGTGGCGGCCGTGCGGCCCGTGTGCGCCCCCGCCTTGGCCTCCTCGTGCGTGCCCTCGGTGTTGACCGTCACGGCGAAGCGCTCGCGCCGCCTCGGGGAGGGCGACGACGACGAGGCGGCCTCGGCCCTGACGTCGTAGTCGTAGAATGGGATATCGTGGCCGCCCGCCAGGCCCTGCAGCGCGACGGCCACCGCGACAGGGTCGTGCAGAGGAGGTCCCTGATCGATGCCAAAGACGGTTCTGGAGAAGAGGTGAGCGTATTGTTCCTTACCGAACACACTAAGATGCCGCCGGCAACCCCTAAAGCGCCGCACAGCAGGGACCGGTGCTCCGTTGTGGAAAATCTCACCTGTAGGTTTCGGCAAAGAAGTTGAGCAGCTGGACGAGCATCAGACGGAGCGTCGTCTTGGGCTTGCCGCCGGCGGTCGGTGTGGCCCCGGAGCCATAGAGAAGTAGGTCCTGGACGTCCTTGGTCGCCAGGACGAGGTGTGTGATGTCGAGGGGAATTATGGTGGTCTTCTTGGCCAGCGCCTCGTTCCTGAAGATGGAGTCGGCGGCCTCCGGGTCGACCAGGATGTTGAACTCAGCCCATTGGGTCCAGTTGCCGATGCGAGCGACGCCGTCGACCTGGCCCATGACGGCGGAGGTGAAGTTGTCCCCAACGGCGCCGCCCATGATGGAAAGCCCGGCGATGTGGCCGACCAGCTGGGGGTACTTGGCGATGGCCTCGGCCACGTTGGTGACGGTGCCCGTGGCGATGATCCAGGCGGTGCCCGGGGCCTGGGCCAGGAGGGCGGCGGCCATGGCGTCGACGGCGGCGACGGACCTGTCGGGCCCGCGGAGGGGCTCCGGCAGCAGGTCGGTGCCGTCGATGCCCGACTCGCCGTGGATGTCGGTCGGCGCGTGCAGCGGCGGCCTGACCGAGGCCTTGGCGGCGCCGGGGTAGACGGCGACCTGATCATACTTGCCGATGGCAGTGAGTATGGAGGTGGCGTTGTACGTGGTTTTCCTTGAGCGGCGGGCGGTCCCCACGTCCACATCAGCCGGCAAGTTCCCTTTCATCTTCTTGTCCGTTCATCTGGCGGCCCGGACGAGCCATCACGCCGTGGGGACTGACGTACTCCAGCGATGCGTTCCCAAACACGGTCGAGATGCCTAGCAACTTGATCATGGGGTGATAGGCAGCCAAGAGAATCGCAAACGCGTCCTAGTCGGGGAAGTCACGGGAAGGGCGAGCGTTAGCAGCCTCCCTTGTTGGATCCGCATTGCGCTACGTCCCACGATGAGGCTCTGCATCTCAGGAGCCAAACCGGTGCAGGGGCACCTGAGCCGCTTTCTTCTTACATCATGGCCGGGGTCGCAGTCAAGCCAGAGTGGCACGGCTTGAGGCTGAGTAGCCATTTTACTAGCAGATATGGATGAGAATTGACAATGCGTTGGTTCTTTTCCGAGGCCTCGTTGTGAAGTGAAGAAAAACGAGTCATATATCAGTTACCAACAGGCGTGTCCAACGTATTTTGTGCTACCTTGGCATGACTGGGTTTTGGAGCAGTTGAACGCCAGCTGGAGATCAGGAGCCGGCCTCCACAGCAGGCCACCCGCCCCTAACAACCCCAATCCGGTTAGTCAGCATTTTGCAGATACTACAACCCGCACGATACCATAAATCATAAACCATAGCCGACATCGTTTCGACCTTCTCTCTGACCGTATCAACTCTCGATTTATTTAATTTCCTACTGAACCCTCGCTATCCTCCCGTAGCCTAAAGGGGGGGGACCTCCGTCAAACGCCGAAGCTCTGGTGCCGCTAATTCCTGCCATCCAGCTAATCGCCCAATTTTCGGCTGTTCACACCAGCCAGAGGATCTAACGACCATCCGAGATCTAGGTCAACTGGCATACCGCCAGGAAACGAGAAGGCGTCGGCCCCTCCCCTAATACGCTTGATTTGGCGCAGCAGCTTTCGTTCCCGGGAAACGTACGTGGTCTAGGTGGTTAGGACTTTACAAGTCTGAGGTCCACCGCATAGAAACTGTCGGCCTGCTGTTTCGAGCTGCGACTCCGCGGGCGGATCCAAAGCCCTGACGCCAGGTGCCCACACAGGTATTATGGCGACGAAGCCTAGCAGTAACCCTGGTCCACCGTTACGGCAACGTGAGAATCATGGTAACGTTGGCCGTTAACAGTAAGGCTACCTTGTTGGTTGCCGCGGTCATTCGCGACAACGTTGGCGGCATGGCCGATCTGCCATAAGAATCGCGTGTGCGTTAGTAAAGTGTAAGCTTTTTTTTCATCCAAAATAAGAGCGAGAGAGAGAGAGATGGAAAGACTCGGGACGCGCAGGCTGATACGGACTTACCCATGGAAATCCGCCTGGGGACATCCACCATTCGCCTCCAGCTCGCTGGTGTCGATCGAGAGTGAAAGAGTTAGCAATCCTGATCTTTTCACCACCTTTGTTGAGGGACCTGGAGAACTCACGTAGCTGCACCATCCAATGGCCAAGTTCCACGAGCAGCTGGCTCGCGAGCACGTGCCGCCTTGGATCCAGGCGTCGCCACCAACCCGCCAGAGGTACCGGATCCCCCCCTCGATAGCGCTCCCACTGATCTGGGGACGCAGCCGCCAGCACTCGGTGTGATCCCGCTTGGCCAGCTGCTTCCCCTGAGCCGCGGCAGTCTCCTCTTCCAGCTTGGCGAGCCGGGCTGAGATCTGCTCCGCGTTGTCGGCCTCGTAGTTGGGGTTGAGCTCCAGGAGCTGCGCGTACACGGACTCGATGGTGCCGTTGAGCGAGATCTTCTCGCCAGGACGGATCTCGACGTCCCAACGTGTCTCGCTCATCTTGAAGCCCTCCGGGAGGACAGTCAGATACTAAAGTTGACAATTGCCTTTCGAGCTAGAAAGCTACTTGAGCTCCTAAAGGAGTTGATCCCCTGTTTTCGATGGGGGCGATGGGAATGCCCACAACTTACCTAGGGCTGCCCAAGGACAGGGCTGATGGCAGCCCCTTGGGCGCAGGTGGCAATGATAGGGACAAGGCCCAGGAAGATCTTGAGGACAGACATGATTGCTATTGACGGGTTTGACTGAAAGGTCTGGGCGGTGCTTCGGTGCTTGGGAGCTTGAGAGCTTGGGAGCGGTGCTGCGTGGCTTCACGTTTCTTCAACCGATACCCATGGGGAGCTTGCCATCTACTTATACTCCGAGTAAATCCTTGGTAACTATGTCTAGAGCCTTCCCTGAATGCAGACTTGCCAGGAAGAGTCCCCGGACCAACGGGACGACGGGTGGAATGCCAATGCGAGGCTACCAGCCGCTTGTGGACCGGCATCGACACCAGTTGGCTTACACAGTATGTCGAGCCAGGATCTCATGATAAGAGGCCACCAGCGCGTGTAGACCGAAACCAACTCCCTCTTCAGACCCAGCCCGTTCTAGGGTGGTAAGGACAAGCTTGCAACATATCCCCATTGGTGGGTAATTCTATATATAATTTGGTCAAGGGGCTGATCTGCCCACCGCTCATTGCCTTTGAGTCTTGTATGTAAGAGCATGAAAGCGGGGTAGCTCGATAAACGAGCCGCCGTTTGCTTCGTTTTTCTAGCTTTCCCAAGAGACTGCTTCGATATGCTATTTAGTGAGTAATCACCAACTCGCCATGATTTTATCGGGCTCATATTCAACTTTCTATCACAAAAATGCGACACATACCACATGAAAGATCGAGCATAGTAGTGTATCAAATACCGCTATAAAGGAAAGGGACAGAAGGGAATTCGGTACTCGGGTGTCTTGGCGTCCGCTCACCAGTTGTCACTCCGGTGGGTCTCGTCACTGTAGATTTTGGCCCAGACCTTCACGACATTGCACTCAGCCATGGGCGGCGCGCCACTAAAGCTTGGCTTGGCTGGCCCTGCGTGCTGTGTCCCATCCAGGCTGGGCCTTCTCAGTCGACGCATGCACTCTTAAGATTAGAGTGCTACGGATCAGGAACTGAGGTAGCAGCCAGCTGGGCGCCACGAGCTCCTCGCTGCCGGCCATCATGTCCACAACTTGGCAGCCAACGGTCGTCCTCCGATCGAGTTGCTACGACTCACGCCCCGCCCGCTTGAGAATTTCTTCCATGGCGGAACATGCACAGCACCTTACAAAAGCTTGCACTTTGAGATCAAGCTACCAAATTCTGCTAGGAAAGCGAGGACTGTGATATGAGCATCGGCGTCTCGACTAAGTGTGGCGGCGCCACCCACCAAGGAGTTTGCGACAACACATGGGGGGAACACTAACACTCCTCCATCGTACTCTGGTTGGACCGGTGTGTAGGCGATGTGGTGAAATATCGAGAAGCGCGGTACTGCATCCATGCGAAAACAAAATGCCAAGTCTATAAGACGGATCCATTCATAACCTATACCAAGGAGCTTCGAAGGCAGGAAAAATAAAAGCGTACCAAGTTAAGTATATAAAGAGCATTGGTGACATTACGTAACGTTGAAAGAGGAAGCGGAAGGGGAGGGGGAAAAATAGTGAAAAAAGAATGTTAGGACCAACTGGAGATCGAATCCAGGACCTGCGGATCTGCAATCCGACGCTCTACCACTGAGCTATTAGTCCTATGACTACGAGGCCAGACAACTGGACTTAAGACCGCTCCGCCACCCCTGCGGAGACAGTATTCGGAGCCGACGCATCCAACCACTGCCCAAGGTCCGTGCATGTTTTCTCCACCCAGAAAATTTGCAAGGGCACACGTGATTTACCCTAGTTTTGCACGGAGGGGAGTCTCGGGCCCACACCAGCCCTACTTTTCAATTGCCCTAGACTTTTCTCTCCATTTCGACTTGGTGCATCGTCAACTCCATCCAAAGGCAACATTTCGAGACAAGTTGCCCATCATGTCGCTAGTGTCGGGCGAGAAGTCGAACTTCCAGTTCGTAAGTGCTACCAACCCCCCACGTTTCCTATCACGTCGAAAAGCATCGCGGCAATGCAAAGCTCGCCGTCGGCATCGCGAAAACGCCAGCCCTCCATGACCCGGCCGTGGAGGCGTGCTTGATTGGCGTGCCTGCTTACTGACACACTTTACCTCTACAGATCCTGCGTCTCCTCAAGTAGGTTTATTTCCACTCTCCGCAATTCCAGCACCCCGAATTCTCGACCCCGGGTCGCCACCAGCAAAACGACCAGGATAGTGTGCGCGCTGCCGAACAATCGCCGACACGAAAGTCACGAGCGCGCGAGCCGAAGGCATTGCCTCACTGCCACTCTGCACTGTTGCTTTCTCGCCCATTTCGACCCACCGTTGTTCACCTATGCCAATCGAAACGACGCCGGATCGGGACCGGCGAGACAAACCACAAGACCCGGCTTGGCTGGAGCAACTGGAGTCAACACATGGATGACGATCATGGACAACGGCTGACATCCGCTCACCTTCTAGCACGAACGTTGACGGCAAGCAGAAGATCGTTTACGCTCTCACCAAGATCAAGGGTGTCGGTCGCCGTTACTCCAACCTGGTTGTCAAGAAGGCCGATGTCGACCTGAACAAGCGGTATGGCTCCACATCTCGTGTCTTTATGTTAAGGCGAGGATCAGTGATTCCAAAATGGCATGCTGACCCATTTCTTCCCGGAAACAGCGCTGGTGAGCTCACCTCCGAGGAGCTTGAGCGTGTCGTCACCATCCTCCAGAACCCCACCCAGTACAAGATCCCTGCGTGGTTCCTGAACAGGCAGCGCGATATCGTCGACGGCAAGGACTCGCAGCTCCTGGCCAACGGTGTCGACTCGAAGCTTCGTGATGATCTTGAGCGCCTGAAGAAGATCCGGGCCCACCGCGGTCTCCGCCACTACTGGGGCCTGCGTGTCCGTGGTCAGCACACCAAGACGACTGGCCGGAGAGGCCGGACCGTCGGTGTGTCCAAGAAGAAGGGTGGTTAAAAATTCGGGCTTTTCATGGGCTGGGGATCATTTGCCCACTGGTCGGGGGATCTCTTGGCTTTCGGCGTTCTTTCTCATCATTGTGGATGGTCGGGCGTGTTACGGCTGGATTCATCGTTGACTGCTTTACGTGCATTGAAGGTCACCGGTCATCGGAAATGGAAGGTAGACTCAATACACAGGGTTCATGGCAAATGGCGTTTGTGCCTCTTGTGAATTTCTTGCTTTCCACGCACTCCACATCTTCGACGTCTATGGTGTATAAACTTCTCAGCGTAACCGAGACGATCTATCATCACTGTCACCGCTTGGCGGCTTGGTTAGCCAAGGGGAAGGGGTCTCGCGGCAAAGCCCGGTGTCCTGTTCACAAGAAGGGTGAGGCGCGAAGGTTGACGTGGACATAACTGCATTTTATGACTGATCCTTCGGGTTCTAATCTTCGTGCACAACTGCCATTTCTAGAACCTCAACACGTCCCTGGCCTTTGGTCTCGTTGCCGAGGAAATCGGACAGAGCCTTGAAGGCGCCAGGCTCGACGAAGCCGACAACCTCCCACTCGGAACCGATGACATCCTGGTTCTCGACTTGCTCGATATAACTCAGAATCTTGTCCTTTACAGTGCCGGGCGCCTTGGGCTGGTCGGCACCATCGGCGTCGTTGCTGACCGAGGCCTTGGGGGCGGCGGCGGAGGTCTTGACCGACTGCTTCAGCACGTTTGTCGAGCAGGTGATGCGCAGGCGCATCCTGGCGCGGGAGATGGGGATGGGCTGGTGGGCAATCAGCGCCTTCATGGCCTCCAGGGCCTGGCTCTTGGCGCTCTTGGTGGTGGACATGCCGGTCCAGACGGGCTTGTGGACGGCCGGGGCGGCGGCGGCGGCTGCGGGGTCCTCGGCCGCGCCGCCGCCGCCGCCGCTGTCCTCGGCGTTGCTCGCCCTCTGAGCGTGGGCCTGCGAGGTCAGCATGTCGAGGGCCTTGTCGATCATGCTGGTGGTATAGACGCGCTTGGTGCGGGGGTCGACGAGCTTGGACGCGACGATGCCGACGACCTCGTTGTGGACGCGCTCGAGCTGGGCGGCGCGCTCCTTCTCGCCGACCTGCAGCTCGCCCTTGTTGAGGATCTCGAGTATGACGTCGGCCACGGGCACGTCCCGGCCGAAGGCCTTGGCCAGGTCGGCCGACGGCGCCGTCTGGCCCTTTGAGACGTTGAGGAAGACGTTTGGGATCTGCAGCACGTTGTCCAGGTCCGTCTCGATGCCCGAGCGCCACTCGAGCACCTTGTTCTTGTAGCACGCGAGCTCGAACCGCTTCTTGCCCTTCTTGAGCCGGACCAGCGCCACGTTTGTGAGCTTGATCTGGTTCGACGGCTGCGATATTTGGCGCGACATCTTGGGGTGGCTCTGCCGGGAGGGGGGCCGGTCTCGTCTTGCTCTTGCCTATGCTGCGGTCTCGCGCGCGCCGGGGAGGTCTAGGGGTCGAGGTGCGCTCGTGAGGCGGGAGTTTTGCGCGATAGGGCGGTGGATCAAAGAAATGGCGCCGATGACGGGTTCTGTTTTGCTTTCCAAGTTTTGGGTATCCCGTGTATCATCTAGCTATTAGGCAGGCTTCCAGGCTTTTTATCATGCTCTTCTTTTCTTTCTTCGATTCGTTGGGTTAGATTTTCGAAGTTTCCATAGTTGAGCGCTTGCATCACAGAAAGTCATCGTTCGTGCAATTCGCTGTACTGGCTCCCCTCCACCCCGCTTGTGGTCCATGAGGAAGAAAAAAAAGGCACTCAGTGCTTGCTGATGCCCCACCTATTACAAAGATACATGGAGAGAGCCGTTACCACGCTACACATGGATTGAACATTCACCATACATATGATTGTGTATGAACCATTTCTGAGGGCTTTGGTACCCCAGCCGGTCCTGCTCAACAAACGATGTGAGCAACAAACAACCAAACAAAACAGTGATGAGAGCACGCTGCCTTCCGGAACTGGTAACCAGGTACATCCAGGTGGCGTGCCAGGTGTGTTGTCTAAACACAAATCCACCACACCTTGTCAAGACCCGGCACCTCATTTACTCGAGGCTCGTGATTGAAAATGGTCGCTCCTTCACATCGCAATTACTCGCAGCCAGGCGGCACCTTGAGGGCCATGAGGGCGCGCTGGAGCGTTCCAGAGCCACCGCCAAGCAGTGTCCCCAAATTGGGCTAGCGCGGCGCTTGGCGTGGGCAGGGTGGCAGCCTGATTGGAGGCACGTGGACCAAATGCAGGGGCCCCCGAGCTCTAGTAAATCAGTGCCGATGACGGAATTGAGCCGTGCCTGCTGTGGTTGGGGAAACTGGGGAGGTCGGAGTTGCGGGTTGTCGGGGCAAGCAACCCGCCCCATGCCTGTTTCAGTGAACAGCGCCCGCCAATCCCCAGCCTGCATCAATCCAGGGCGAGATAAGCTCGGGCGGTCGACCATCCATCTATACCGCTCAACTGCCTTCCGTTCAGCTCTCGTCCTCCATTTCTCTTCCATACACATCAACATCCCCAAACATCGTACACAATACACAACAAACACACCGTCGGCCGCCCCTCGCTAGCCGCTTCCCAAACATACTTCACGCCACGCCGCCTTTCCTAGGCTTGCAACAATGAGGATAGCCGCCTCGACGCTGCTCGTGGGCGCCGCCTCGGCCGCCATCCACATCCAGGATGACGGCTCCCAGCACGTCCTGGGCGCCGCGCCCCTGGCCGACGCCGTCAAGCCCATCGGCGAGTCGTGGCAGAAGCCGCTCAAGTCGCTCGAGGACTTCCTCGGCTCCATGACGTCCGAGGCCAAGGCCGTGTGGGACGAGCTGAGGCTCCTCGTCCCCGACGCCGACAAGCAGGCCGCCACCCTCCTCTCGTCCCCCAAGCCCCACGTCCGCAAGCCTGACAGCGCCTGGGACCACGTTGTCAAGGGTGCCGACGTCCAGTCGCTCTGGGTTGAGAGCGAAGGCGCCGAGAAGCACCGCAAGGTTGACGGCCGCCTCGAGGACTACAACCTGCGCGCCAAGGCTGTCGACCCATCCAAGCTCGGCGTTGACAAGGTCAAGCAGTACAGCGGCTATCTCGATGATGAGGCCAACGACAAGCACCTGTTCTACTGGTTCTTCGAGTCGAGGAACGATCCCAAGAAGGACCCCGTCATCCTTTGGCTCAACGGCGGTCCGGGCTGCTCGTCCCTCACCGGCCTGCTCTTCGAGCTGGGTCCGGGCTCCATCAACGACAAGATCAAGATCGTCCACAACCCCCACGCCTGGAACAACAACGCCTCGGTCATCTTCCTGGACCAGCCCGTCAACGTCGGCTACTCGTACTCGGGCTCGTCGGTCAGCAACACGGTGGCCGCCGGCAAGGACGTCTACGCCCTCCTGACCCTCTTCTTCCACCAGTTCCCCGAGTACGCCCACCAGGACTTCCACATTGCGGGCGAGTCTTACGCTGGCCACTACATCCCCGTCTTTGCCTCGGAGATCTTGTCGCACAAGCGCCGCAACATCAACCTTAAGTCAGTCCTCATCGGCAACGGTCTCACAGACGGCCTGACCCAGTACGAGCACTACCGCCCCATGGCCTGTGGCGAGGGTGGCTGGGACGCCGTGCTGGATGAGTCTGAGTGCCGCGCCATGGACAACGCCCTGCCGCGCTGCCAGTCCATGATCCAGAACTGCTACGACAGCGGCAGCGTCTGGAGTTGCGTGCCCGCCTCGATCTACTGCAACAATGCCATGATCGGCCCCTACCAGCGCACCGGCCGCAACGTCTACGATATTCGCGGCCCCTGCAAGGACAGCGGAAACCTCTGCTACCCTGAGCTGGGCTACATCTCCAACTTCCTGAACCGTCAAGAGGTTATGGAGGCGCTCGGTGCCGAGGTTAGCACGTACGACTCGTGCAACTTCGACATCAACCGCAACTTCCTCTTCCAGGGCGACTGGATGCAGCCCTTCCACCGCCTCGTCCCCGGCCTGCTTGACGAGATCCCCGTTCTCATCTACGCTGGCGACGCTGACTACATTTGCAACTGGCTCGGCAATCAGGCCTGGACCGAGGCTCTGGAGTGGAAGGGCAAGAAGGCATTCAACGGCGCCGACCTCAAGGATCTGACCTTGGCCACCGCCGGCGATGCCAAGCCCTACGGCCGCGTCAAGTCCAGCGGAAACTTTACCTTTATGCGTATCTACCAGGCCGGCCACATGGTCCCTTACGACCAGCCCGAGCCGTCTGTGGATTTTGTCAACAGGTGGTTGGGTGGCGAGTGGTTCTCCGCTTAGGGCCTAGGCCAACAGTATCAGCCCTTGGGACTATGAAGCCTCGACACGACGAAATGAAGGACTCATTGTCTTTTTGAAACTATCTCTATTCTTTCACTCTGCTTTTGAATAAACCCAGACTGATTTTAGCCCTTGCTGACACTTATCGTCTTTATTTGCCGCCAAATCCTTGTGCCAGTGTGAAATGATACCCTTTCCCATGATTGTGCATAGGCCTGGGTTAATGCAACGCAGCATGCTACCCCGGAGCTGGGTGGCCGATACCTTTTCGTCTTGTCCGGGTGCTCGTGTAGTCCATGCCCTATCTCCATTGGAAGCCCATTGGCTGAAAGGGCAAGTATCACAACCCCGATCAGCTCAGGAGACAGGTGCTGGAGGAAAAAGTTCCCAATATATGTCCACGTGTAGTTTTGGTGACCTGATATGTACCTCTACTTTCTTCGGGAGACTAACAACGAAATCCCCAAATTCATCACCATTACCAGACGGATCAACACTCTCATCATGCACAGCACCTGGGTGTGGAGGTGGACCCAGCGCCCACGCATGTAGAGTCAAGTTTCTGCACACAAGGCGGCAGATATTGTTTGAGCCAGGCAGGCGCTCGAGCATCATTCAGGACAGCCGCGCCTAGCCTTCTCGGGTCGAAGAGTAGCCAATGCACCAAAGATGCTAGTATTCTATGCTGCCATGAGGCTCCGAGAACCGCCGCCACCCTTGGTTGTGCTGACCCTAACTGACAGATGAAACATGCCCCGAGGGCTTGAGTATAGACAATACCACGGTTTCCGTATTAATACATTGGTGCGAGGCCCCTTCCTGCCTTTGTCGTATCTGGTACCCATTCGCCTCAAACACCATCTGTCCCCGTTTCCGTCTAATGATACAAGTGTCGTGTACTGCAAGCCATGATGGCTGTGGCCCGTGGCAGCACGCGCTACCACCGCGTAGTAGGTAGTCCTCTATCCCATTCGCCCCGTCTTCCATCGGTTCAGAACGCCAGGATAGATGGGCAATTACTCGAGCCGTCGAGATTGCGAGTGATGACCCTTCCTCTCCGGCCCAAGACCCGAATGAGACCCTAAAATGTCCGCCGCCTGGCAGAGTCGAAAAGGAAAAGGCGCCAACAACAGAGCTTGGCCAAGACAAAGGGAAGATAAGAATAGGGATGGAGAGAAAAAGACAAGTGACAAAGAGAAGTCGAACACAAGGGAAGGATAAGTAGGTGCGACCTAAAAAGCTGGAGAGGCAGAAGAAGAAAAACAACCGAGAAATAAAACAGCAAAGGAGAAGGAAATAAAAAAAGAACAAAAAAAAACGGCTAAACGATGCAGCGCCTTATAGAACCTAGGGAAGTGAAAAGAGGATGTCGCGTATTTTCTCCGTCGCCAGCTATGACAGCTGGCGTATGCCCATAATCATTATGTCTTTTTAGGCCATTGCTGGGATGATTTGCTCGTCTAGTATTTCTCGTGCCGCGGCAGCATGAGCCTCTCAGGGCCGGTGTCCATGACGCTGATTGCATCGCAACGTTATCGGTCATGACTTTTCGTAAGCTGTCTTCGCGAGATCGTCGGCCCGATGGACTCGGCTGAAGCACCGCGCTTAGAGACGGTTGGTTGTCCCTTTGGAGATGCCCGGCCATCGGGGCGCCTGGGGAGGCTGCCAAAGCCGGGCATGCTCAAGGGCAGGTCAGAGGCCAAAACACAGCCTGCATCATGTCCTCTCTGAGCATCGGTCGGCCTCTCACCCTGCAGTATCAGCTGCCGGTATGGGAGGACTGGCACCTCTGTGTCTGCGGAAAAATGGGAAGGCGTTCATGCGGAACCTGCTAGGTTTCTTTTTGAGAGTCCTGGCCTCCGACAGCTTGGCGTTGGTTGATGTGGACGAGTCTTCCTCTGCATACATCGAAGACGGGCTAGTGCCCAGTCTCGAATCCGAGTGATTCTTGTCCAGTCTTGATTCTGGCGGGTGGCTGCCCAGGGGCTCGTGATCATACTCGGGGACCTCGACCGTGGGCACGGGGACACTGGATGGCCGGTCCAGTGACTCCTGGCTAATAATGCTAGTGCCCTGCGTGCTAGGCGAGAGCGGCATCTTACCCGTCGTGGCGCTGTTAGCCTGCGACGCCCAATCCCCAGCACCAGGCGCGGACGCGCTCCCCTCGGTCGCTTCGCTACAGCGTTGCTTTCGGGACGTCGGAGGTCGGGTATCGTGCATGCCAAAGGGATCGCTAGCAGCAAAGTCGGCGACGGCATCAAACGAGGTGGTGATGCCATTGACTTCTTGGTATTTGTTGGGGAGCGCCGACACGTCAAGAGGCTTGTACGAAACCTTCGTGGGCCTCTCTTCCGTCATGGAGAACGGCACCGACGTCTCTGTAGGAGACACGCCACCCGAGATGGCGGAAGGAGTTCGAAGATCTCTGTCGGTGTCGGGAGTGACGGCAATGCTCATAGTCCGAGGCGACATGGTCCCGTCGTGAATGAGTCTTGGCCTGTTGAGCTGCTTGGCCACTTCTTCTTCCACCATCTTCTGGAACAAGGCCTTGTTGATCTCCAGTTCGTCCACACAGTATCGCGTTTGCGGCAGTATGTCGGCAACTCCCTGGAATAGGGGTATTGCGAACAAGTTCAGAAAGCCTAGCTGAGCCTTGGATAGGGACAACACGTCCTTCTTAGGCGGGGACATGAGAGATGATGGAATCTCCAACTCAGACTCCATGGATGCCTGTCGCGAGAACTCGTCCGACAAGATGTGAGTCCACTGCAGAGCGGTGTCGTGCTTCCGCGCCTGAAAGTCCGAAGTGAAGATTTATTAGTTCCTCGTGAAGCCCAGTTAACATCGTCATGGAGTGCGGACTGGACGTACCACATTGCTGATGTCGGCGCACTTGATGAGAAGGGCGCATAAGAGAGCCTTCTGCTCCTCAATCATACGGCCATTCCATCCCTCGGTGGTGTTGCTGGCTTGGAGTTTCTCCTGGAGATCGCCGAGCTTCTTCATGTAGTCGAAATGGAGACCCATGTCGGTGGCCAGAATAGAGCTTATCATGAGCTTTCGCATGCGCAGATCCTCAAACGCAGCAGGCCAGTGCCTCCGCAGAATCTGCGAATACGCTGCGCAGTGGAAGGACTCGAGTACTGAGCGGTCGTTGTAGAGCTGTGCTAGAGGCGCGTTAAGCGTGACTAGAAAACCATTGTTGACTCCCGGGTGGCCCACGTCATGGCCAACTGCCGTGACGAGAAGGGTCAAGGCCTCAAATGGTTCTAGCAGGCCGGCCATGGGTGAGGTTGGCGACTCCTGGGTCGGCAGGACCCCATCTTGATAGTCGGGGAGTGGAAACGGCGGCAGCGCACCGATTTGTACCAAGAAGTGAAAGGTTGCCTGCAGCACGTCGATAACATGGCGGAAATTATGGTACGGCACGAAGCTGTTGTAAGCGGCCCGGCAAGCAATCAGGTAGGTGATTAGTTGGTCTGCGGGAGTGGAAAGAAGCGGTCAGCAAGCGAATCAGGCGAGAGCTGGAAAAAATAACGGGGTCCAAAGGCAAACACCTCGACACCGACACACACACACACACACACACACACACACACACACACAAGCACGGACGGAGAGACGATCGCATCGGCAAACACGCAACAAACGGCAAAGAGAAGCCTCCAGGACAGAAGCTTGCGAAACGGAAAAGCAAAAGATGAGAGCGAGAAGAGGGGACAGAAAACGCACCAGTCGGCAAGCGCCAGCGCTCCAACTCCGGCATGCTAAGCGCGTGCTTCAGCATCGACGAGGCAGCAACGATCAGATCGTCATCGCTGAGATCGTGGGCGCAAAAGTGTCAGTCAGCGACCATCTTGGTGATCTGCGCACGCCGCTCAGGAGGCACCCTAATCCTGATGTTTGAGACGCGGTCGTCTTGGTCGTCACCGGGGCGGCAGATTCCGCTCATAAGGCCAGAAACCATAGCTTCTCGGAGGTATGCAAACGGCTTCTGTTCGTCCACCCCCACCCAAGACCGCTTGCGGCCGCGCTTTACTTCGAGAATAGCCTGTCTCTCCTTCAGAGCCTCCTTGTGGGCTCGGTACGCGTGGGTTTGTATCGACGTCACAGAGTTCACTGGATTGACCAGAACGTCGGTTGCTCCCAGGTCCAAGCACCCCTTGAGTAGCCGGCGATCTGGTACCAGTCGGCCCCCCTCCAGCGTCGAGATCCCTGGCATGTCGGAGCCATTGGCCGTCGCGCCCGCGCGCTCAGCCCCGGGGAAGCTGATCAGAGGTATAGGCACGACCAGGCTGGACATGTTCCGCAAATGGGCTTCAGACACAATCATTTGCAGAAGCCGGATTCCATAGCCATCCCCGTCGGCCGAGTCTGGCGGGCGTTCTTCGCTAGATGGATTTGAATGAGGCGAGGTAGGCCTGGAGCGATCATCAACTGGAAGGCGCTCGTTGCTGGGAATGTCTATCAACACGACGGTCGGCGTCGTTTCTGCCGTCGAGGTACCGTGCTGGTCAAACAACTGCGACATGCAGGCGACCCCGGTGCCGCACAAATGAACTAGCGCCGCGCTTCGTCAGTCTCGGGAGATACACACCAATGGCCTGGCGTACTGTCCAGGCACCGAGGAATGATGGGCAAGTGGGGGAGGGGACTAACCATCGCCAATGGCTTCAAGCAGCAGCGCAACGTTTTCCCTAAGTGTCTGGGTCTCGCAGCCACTGGCCGCATCTTGAAAGCTGCCGAAGCTGCCGGAGCCGCGTGAGGGCGCACGAATCACGCGGTCCTCCCGGACACTCCGGTCAACGTATATCAAATCGCAGGAGACATCATCCATCGTGGCCTCAAAGAGAGCCAGTCATGAGACTGGGACACCTTTGCTGCCACGGGGGAACCACGCCGCTGGCCAAGATATGCCAGTGCCTGCGTTTCTGGGTGTGTCCCTCGACAAGAAGCAGCCACCCGGAAAACAAGCCGACCCCGGCGCTAGCAGCGCTTCCGGACGCGAGCCTTCGGCGCGCGAAAGCTGGCCGACGGGATCTGGCGCGACAGCAGCAAAATCTGCTCGGCCCAGGCCTGAGCAGGCGTCGGCGCAACCCAATCACCTCGCCGAACGGTCGCGTTGAGGCAGACCTTTGGCCGCTGGAACTATCAGAAGCGATCGCGCGTGGAAGAGATGTGCGCTTTCGGGTACGTGTCAGGCACGACGAGGTAAACGGTCGTGCACGAAGCCGTCGCGAGGCTTCTCAGTCAAAGGATCGAGATACGATAGCGTGAGCGGGCCGAGAAACATGGGGCGGTCGCGCCGGTGATCAGTCGTGCATGTCGTCGATCGAGGGAGGCGAGGGTTTGGGGTTGTCGAGGGGGTACGCCGGAGCGCTGGTGTCGTTGCGAGGGAGGCGCGACACGATGCCCGGCGAGCCTGTGCTAGGCGGTCGATTGGAAGGATCTGTGGTGCCAATTGAGTGAGGTGCGGTCGAGGTTAATTGGGCTTGTGGTCGGGGGTCGCGATTGCGAAATGCGGGCGCGGGAGATGGAAGATGGCAGCCGCAAAGGAACGTTGGTACGGTCGTGTACACGGAAAGGGCAGAGGGCGGCCGGCGGAAGCAGTGTGACTGAGGCGAGGGTACTCGACGAGGATTGCAGCTTCCGTTGGCGTGCAGGAGTTCTGGCTTCAAGGTTGGTGCCAGTGTTGTGATATCCCAATCCTAAGCGGGTGCGAACGACAGGGCTCCCCTCCTCTCTTTTCCTTCTTCTTTTCTTTTTCTTTTTCCCTCCCCCCCTTGGATGTTCCAAACCTCGATTTCGCCCACTGCTGCTTGTTCTGGGGTCGAATTGATAAGGTGGTAGGATTGGGCGATAGTTGGAGGTAGAGACAGGAGCCGTTGACAAATTCGGAGGTGGAAACCAGATCGGAAGAACCAAGACTCAAGGGCACATTACCTTGCGGTTGTAGGATGGGCCGGCGCCAGGGTACAGGGGCCTGGGGGCCTGGCTGACAAGACCCAAGACGGAAGGGGAAAGGCAGCTAGTCGCTGGCGAGACGCGAGTCGGGCCTGCCGCTGCAACAAGAGCAACACGGACTCGCGCTTGGGGCATGTAAATTTTCGAGACCCTCAGGGCTCCTCAGGGCTCCCCCAAAGATCAATCGCAGCAGCAACGAGGGCGAACCCGACAGAGAGTTCAACCACAGGGCAGGAGGATCGGCGAGGACGATGAGGGCGGAGAAGGCGTGGACAGAGCAGGCCGGAACCCAGAGTGACGATGGGGAGGCGCGCCCACAACAACTGTGCGTCCTTCGGCCGCCTTCGCCTTCGACACCACACCGTACTCCCCTCGTGGTAGAGGCTATGTAACGGCGATCCCAGGTGGCCCCAATGGGTGTTGCACCTTCCACCCCACAGCCAGTTTCGGGGCTTTATTCCCTTCTCGGGTGCACCATCCCAAACGCAGCGACGCTCCGGCAGGTGGAAGCGGAGCTGCCAGTTTGTCGTGCCGGATGATGCCTGCTTGGTGCAAAAACGTGGCGGGCACCGGACAAGGCGAGCGGAATGGGCATGGAAGCTGAAAACAACAATGGGAAGCGGGCCTCTAGCTGGATAAGAGTCCTGTCTGCATCAAAGGGAAGCAAGGTGGTGGTGTGTATGTCTGTTTAGGTAGGTACCCGTCTACCGAAGCTATTTGTCGTACTGACCAGGGCTGTATTACGTGCACAATACGGTATGTACTACCTGAGCACGAACTTGTGTGGCTGCAACAATGGGCAAGAAGAAGAGGGCGCGATTGCTCGTGGGAGTTCTGTGCAGATCGCCATCGATGTGGGGGAGAAGACGTTTCCTGCTCTCAAGATCAAGATAGACGTGACGACACACCTCAACCACGAGGTGGCACGATCAACGATGCAAGGAAGGAGGGAGTCCCATCAACCCCGGGGGGCCACCTTCCCTCGGCCGTATTCGTGCGCGTCCCGTCATCCATGCAGCTTCTCCTGTGCTGCAACGTCGACCGGCCCTCCTGCTGCAGCAGTGGACCGCTGGTCGGTGGGGCTTTTCTGGCAGGGCCTCGATGCGCCCGCCTGCAGCTGCAGCCAGGCTAAACCGCACCAAGCAGGTACACCTGCCTAGGAAGGTCAGCCGGCAGCAAGTGAGGTGGGCACCAGCACTGTGTGTGTGTGTTCGTGCTGGGGATACCGTGGCACATCTGTTTCCCTGGATCAAGCCTGCAGCCCGCGATGGACGGCACAAACTGTGTTGGTTGCGACACTCAAGCTGCCTTTTTGCTTAC